TGCCTTGATAAAAAGGATCATTGTCTTCTAGACTGGTAACAATTGTACTCTTTTATCTAAATAGTCCATCTGAAAGTAATTTGCCCCGGTCATGTGGTTTTTGATTGTTAGTTGAAACAATACGAATGAACATTGTAGCTGTTTGAGATGATAATGAGATGTTTTTATATGGCAATATCTCAACTCAAGAATATATTAGAAGCATATTTATTAAATATATTCAGTAGTGATGTCACTAAATTATATTTCTTAATGATTTCAGAAAATACATTTTAGCCTGTCAACATACAATATCCATTCCCTACAGCTGCTTTCTTGGTTTTCTGTTTTTCTTTTTTGCAATATAAGATACATTCTTGAATTTCTCAGGAAGGCACAGATATCCGGGGTTACCTGTTTACCTTATAAATGGTTTGTTCTGAGATACGTTGAGCATGAAACTGTAGTTGGTGCGTGTATTCATATCTTTGTGGGGTCCGTCCATTCATGTCTAAGGGTATAACTCTAATCCCTGCTCCTACCCATGCAGCCCTAACCTTAACCATAAGTAATCAAAGACTTTTGACATTTTTCGTTTATTGATCACTGATGAAATGCTCCCCACAAGGTAAAAAAAAAGGTCCCCATAAGGTCAAAATAACAGGTTTTTGTCACATTATGGGGACATTTGGTCAGAAAAGTAATCTGGTACAGATTACAAATTACAAGACTAAAAATGTAATCAGTAGTGTTATTGTTTGGACTCCTTGAATTGGGTTACTGCTATACTTCTATACATTGGTGTTTTTGGCTTCACAATAGGGCTACGCGATATAAACAATGTGTCAACTTCTCGTTATATATAATCATGGATGAACATAACTGGAACGCAAGTACGCATTCACCTTTAAGAACGATACGTGCGACAATCGATTGTTTGTAATGCGTACTTATGTGCATTTGCGCTGCTACGACAAGAAAATACCTTGCATTTTAACCTGTATACCGCAAATAAAGTAGAGTTAGCATATAAAGATTAAAATACATTATAGTTTGCTTTCATATAAGCGCAAATGCACATAAAATAATTACGCATTTGCGCTTTTACAAACAATCGATTGTGGCACGTATCGTTCTTGGTGAATGCGTACTTGCGTACCAGTTATGTCCATCCCTGTATATAATATTGAAACAATAAGAAACAACCTGTGCCAAAAAATCCCAGAACAAAATTGACTGAGATTGACTGAGTTAGTAAATGGGTAAATGAGGTGAAAAAATGCCAAGTTAAAGTCCAACATGTAACATTGTGCTGTCTACTGTAAATAATACCTATACCACTTGTGCCAACTAAAACTGCAAACATTGCATAATTAGTTCACCTCCTGAAGCATTGCTATTCAGTAGGACAGCAACTGCTTACAGTCACAGAAACCAGCAATGAGGGTTTCCACTTACGATCAGAAGAAATATAGGAGACACCCCCCTCCCCCCTGATAAAATTATAGATGAACAGAGGGGTAGGGAGGGGGGGGGGGGCAAATCAATAAATACTGGACCTTTTCTAGTATTAGTATTATGCCCTTCTATAAATTCTTTATTTTTTCTATAACTATGCCCTTCTTTATTTTTTGTATGATTTATTTATTAAAATTAAATTTCAGTTTGCAGTTCTTTTATACATTTTCTGAACCAGGGGGGAATCCTATGGGAATTTTAGGGAAAATGCATTAAAGAAAAGAAATAACAAATTCAGTTATATTATGATAATTATTGACATCAACTAATATGAAAAAAACATATATTGATGATGAAATGTTTTGTCATATCACCCAGCTGTACATGATGGTAAATAGCTAATGTTAGCTTGCAAGCTAGCTAGCTAAACCATAACCCATTAGTGATACAGGCTACTTTTAACCAACTAGCTAGCTAGTGGCCAGTTAGATACGGCTGGTGGAACTCAGATGGCTAGCTAACGTTAGATAGCTAGCAAGCAAGATCATGGAAAACGTACCTTCAAATGAATGGTTGCCAGCTTTGGTCAGCTGGCTGGAGTGAGATTTTCTGTTTATAATGAAACATTTAGGTTTATAATGAAAAAATACAGATTTGCCGTAAGAATGCTTGTGTTAGCGTGACAGTTTGAAAGTGTGTCATGCCAGATGTGTGTGATTTGGCAACCCTACAAGGTAATAAAACTGTTACATACATGTAACTGCATGTGCCTGTGTGTACAGACTTGTTTCAAAAAGAAAATCTCATTCCACCCAGCTGACCAAATTTGGCAACCCTGAAATTTGATTATTATTATTTTTTTTAATTGGGTGTTGCATCCTACACTGTAGAATACACTTCGACTTAGTGGTAAAATAGTTAGGTTAGCCATAATTGTTATGTTTACAGAGGTGCAGGCTTAAGGGACCCTGAATTAATAGATCAATCCACGTTCATATAGGCCAATTAAAAATGTAATCTTTTAAAATAGTAATCCTTAAAAAGATCACTGGAATCTGATTTACTCTAATTACTTGATTAAGTACTTGATTTCTGTAATCAGAATACATAATCCAGATTACATGTGCTCCATTCCTACACAAACTGCACACGCATACACAAAATCACAGACTATGGGGTATTTGGAGACACCGGTTCACTTGACACCATATCCTTGGAAACCAGGGAAGAAACACGTGCAGCACAAAGAGAACATGTACACTCTACACTCAGATTGGTAGGATTCAACCCCCTGAGTTTGGGTCCTCACACCTAGTCCTGCAGGCCCAAGATACCTGCTTAGCCAAATTGGTGTCCCTAAATTGCCCGTTAAGTGTGAGTGTCTGCTCTGAGATGGCCTCACATCCCATCTGAGTGATCCCATGTGTTCGGTGCTTCGTAGTATTGGCTCTTGCCTCTTGTCGACCCTTTATGGATAAGCAGTTAGACAAAAGATGTATAAAGAGATAAAATGGTCATTTAGAAGCCTGCATGGAATGATGTTGGTAAAGTAAGTATGACTAGTGTGAGCTACTGTGAGCAAGGTAGTTAACCTGTAGTTATAATAATCTGTTCAAAGAAACTGATCTCCCTACAGGTGCAGCTAATGCCTCTCAATATAAGAGTACAATGTATTGGCCAAACTTGTTCTGTCTTGCAACATTGTGATTGTGCACTACGGAAAAGCCCCATGCGGGACCTTAAAAATAAAACAAAGCCTGGCTTTTAATATTTTTCACAACAAATTAATTTTATTATTGAGGAAGAAATGTTGGACTGAAATACTTCCAAGCCCATCCACCCTCTATAACTACCTGTACTATTTATGGTTGGTTTTTTTTGGGGGGGGGGGGGGAGGCCTATCCCAGAGACTATTGGTACAAGGCAGGGAACACCCCGGGATGGGATGCCAACCCATTGCAGACTCACACACCCCATTCATCCACACCATTGAACAATCTAGCAACTCCAACTCATCTCAGCATGTTTTTACACTGTGGGAAGAACCCAGAGAACCCAGAGAACCCTCGTCCCAGCGGTGAATGTTAACCACTGCACCACCATGCCATCCCAGCTTACAAGTAATTCTTGAAATTGTTCTTTTGCAATGATCTATGAACAAGTTTAGTCGTTTAAAAAGGCTTTTCTCCAAATACAATATATTTATATCTTTATGATTTCAATGAATTTCTTTGGAAAAATTGTGTTTTTCATGACAGGTCAGGTGCCACAGTTACAGCTTAGGTAAACAAGGGAACATTTGTTGTTTTGTTCCATTGGGAAAAAAACACTATGCCCTGCTGTTTCCTGTTTTTCCCAGAGATGAGATGATATCACCCCTTTATGTGACTGCAGCCGCGCATTAACCAGGGCTGCGTAACTAAAAGCACATGGTACCAGGAATAACATTTAGAAAGCAATTAGTATGATCTCCCTTTAATAATGTCTACTTGGCACTGACAGTACAATAGCTCTCAGAAGGCAGCCCCGCGGCTGCAAGCAAAGTATCTTAGCCAGCTGATGTGATATATATTTATAAACAGCCATACTGAGCATGGTCAGCATTCTAGCCCTTACTGAGAATACCTGCTGAGGGCTGTCTGGAGTAATGAATTATGGTAACATGGCGTAATTACATATTTAGCTTTATGTTTTTTGAGGATATCAAGAGTTCCAACTTGATGCTTATGTACCTTCATTTAATAATGGCAGGAAAAGCATTTCTAAAGTCTCAGGTGAAGGATGTGAGGTTCTAAAGGCTACCTGACACCGGTCGGATAGCCTTCTGTACAGACAGGCTGAGAAATGTGGGATCTTTGGGTTCTAAAGGCTACCTGACACCCGTCGGATAGCCTTCTGTACAAACAGGCTGAGAAATGTGGGATCTCTGGCCCATGGTTTTTCCTAAGACCTGCCCCAGGATGGTGACCAGAACAAGGTAATAAAGGGAGAGGAGGAGGGAACTGGAACTTTATTCAGGTGTGGGAGTCAGGACGATGGAGAACAAAAAATCACAAAGACAGCCACTTACCATCGGCATGAGGGAAAGGCACAAATCCGACATGAATGTGTGGTCAGGGAAAAAGCAGAGTGAGATGTAGGCTGGGTCACCAGAGAGCAGAACAAGTTTATAGGACTCATAAGAAGATGCAAGTGAAGTGAATGAAGATCACCAGACTTTGTCCCCTGCAAATATTACAGGAAACAGGATCCATGCTCGTACTTTGCAGAGAAACCGATGGCCTTCTGCTTGAAATACTAGTTCAGGGCTTAACTTCCACTTGGAGTACTAGCTTGGTACTTTACTTTACCTTGAGTACTAATTCAGTCTTTCAGTTACATTTGGAGCACTAGTTCATTCACTCCACCTCTTAGCTGTCTTATTTGATTGGCTTTTATTTAAGCCACAATATATAATAGGATAATATTTCTGAAAATACCATGCTGAGTCCACTAAGTTGCATTACATTGAATGCGAGATACACTATGTATACTGGCATGATATAGTGAAAAGAAACAGTTCAGACATTTTCCAAAGTTTATTTTTCACTTGTTGCTTCCAGTTCAAATGTACCTCTGTGATCTTTGAATTGCATTTCAAATAGTGAAATGGGAAACAATCTAGATGAGAATGGATGTGTTTTATATCAACTGCATTTCATTTCCATCTTCAAGACTATCAGATATAACTGTATTTCATGATTCCTCCCCCTGCTGGACAAAGTGTTTTTCCTCACTTCATTTCAGCTTCTAAAATAGCTTCTTAATTTGGCCACAAACACTACAAAAGCTACGCAAGTGCACAAATACTGTCATTTCTATCTTCATAAAAGCAATTTTTTATGCAGCGCATATATATTTAAAAATAAATACAAAAATACACACTAAATAATCACTGTGGATGTATGTCTATAAAGCATGCAGAAAATAATTCTAAATAACTAGAAGTCAGTTAATACTATTTCATTGTTCCTTTTAAACACAGGAACTGTCTTGCAAATTAACCAAATAAAAAAAATTTAATTAAGAAATCATTGTCAGAATTCCTGATTCCTTTAGATATTTACATGTATAAAGCAAAAATAAATCTATTTTTTTAAATATATGTACACCTCAGTTGAACAAAACTCTCGATTATAATGATAGATTTTTGCATTAAATTAAAAATGGCACAGCAGTGCCTGGAATTTGCAAGGGTTTGGTTTTTTATCGTACTTGTGATGTCATTTCAAAACAACATCCCACTTTCCCTCTTCAGCAATTTGTCCTCATCTACGCCTTACGTTACATGGACAAAATTAGGAACCATCATTGCTGTAAGTGTTACAACTCATGTTATCTATCATTCTGTTTCATTCTCTCCTCCCTCAGGGACTCTTGGGAGTATACATCACACCATGGGCGTCGCCACCATTAAATCTGAGGGGGACATGACCCCCCCACATTTAACATAAACTATTAGTTCACCCAGCGCTGTTTTCCAGTGTCTCCCCTCCACATTCAAAATGCTTCTGACGCCCCTGGATCACACATCATTTGTATTATGAATCCACATCTGGGTTGTGCACATAACAATGATAAAAGTGGGAGGAGCATCACACAGTGTCATTACACAGTGTCATCACACAGTGTCATTACACAGAACACGTACTGACACAAAATCGATCAAGGCCAAAATTTTAACTTATGGATTTACCTCCACTCTTCCCTTTGATGGAGCAAATTCCGTGGTTCCTATCATTTCCACGTTAAATAATTCCCAGTGATTTGAGGAATGGCACCGTTTTACAGGATAGGAATGGTTGGATTAAAACCCTAACTTATAGTGAACCAAATTAATTTTCCTCTTTTTGATAGTGATAAAATGTAAGAAATAAATACAGACTTGAAGCAGCTTTTGTGTGGCTCTGATATGGTTCTGCTTGTAACCGAATTAGCAGGAACCACTGCCGGGGTGTTGAGGTCCACGGTGAGAGTCGGTTGTCCTGCAGGTGAAGCTGAGGTGTGTCAGTGCCATTATTTCATGGCGATCATCCAGACGGGGACTATCTGTTCCGGGAAGCCCTGCTGCTTCTCCACCCCCAAGATCTCCAGGCCGGCTTTGAGAATGATGGCTTTTACGATGTCTAGGTGCCGGATAAGGCTGCTGTCGATGGGGTCCAGCTTGCAGCCCTGCCTGGCCATGTTGTCCTTGATGACGATGATGCCGTTGGGCCTCAGGCTGGCTTTGCACCTGATCAGAAACTTCATCAGGTCGTTGTCAGTCAGGTGGCCTGAAATCACATCAATTGTTAGTCAGAACGTAGAAACACAAGAAAAAAGTGCATCGTGCTACTCGATATGGCAGCCATGCACAATGTGTTTCTAAGGAAATGTGAGCATTGGCAGTCTGCACAAAAGCCATTTGTTTAATTACTTCCACAAGATCTTATCAGAAGAAGCAATTTGGAAGTCAGTTGACCATCACTGAAGCTGCCATGTAGAATGTGGAAATGTGTCAATTTCTTCAAGTAACTTTTTCCACACACCACTACCTCTCTTATAGTATCAACTTCTGCACACGACAGCATTACACTGGTGACCTATAAAGCTATAAAAATAGATTTCGACCTTGCCTCAAATAAGCTGAAATGTAAGCCAGTGAGCTGCATGGTTCTGTCTAGTCACACCTGGGTGCCGCCAAGCAAAACATAGCAAGTCACCTGACCGCATGCCGAAGACTTATCAGTTGTCTTACATATGCTATTCTTTATATACACATGGTCTCAATTATCAGGGAGCTAATGAGAGAGATAGAACCAAAAAAGGAGGAGGGTTGGAAAATTTCCCCCACACTTTAGGTAGAAGACGAATTATGGACCCACAAAACCAACCATGTATTTATTTATTACAAATCTCCCCACCTTATGCAGCCCTATTCACAATTTATAGGACTATCTCCTGAGATGCAGTATTCGAAAAGGTTGCTTAAAATTTTTTGAAGATTAATTTGCTCGCGGCAGGTTGGAAAAAGAAATTACAAGACCCAAGAAAGGGAAAAAGGAACAAGGACATTATTTGGGGATTAGTGAGGAGACCGGATTAGTGAAACGCTGGGGAATGGTAACCAAAAACAGCTGATTCGGAATCTGCACAAGGGGTTACGCTCAAGAAAACAGAAAGGCTGTGTGGAGACTTACTACGGGGTGTGGTCTTGGGTGTCAGATCTTCATGAAACAATACAAAACTCATTTCATGTAACTGCAGATAATAAGGCACAGGTGCAGCAAAAGTATTTGCTTGTAACTTTGCTCTCTCCAGGCAAATACACACCCCCACATCTCACAATTATAGAGCTACAACACTCAGCAATCTCATTCCTTCAGATTTAGGTGGGACTTACATGCGACCCATTGCATCCAGATGACATCATACTTCTTCGGGGGGGGCGTGAGGTCCTGCAGGTTGTAGCAGTAGTAGGACTCGATGCGGTCAGCATCACTACCCAGGTAGCACTCGTGGGCGTGGATCAGAAAGTCCTCTATCATGTCTGCCATCTCCAATGTCTCGAACACTGGCAGGAGGACGTTCTTGGCTACCCTCCCGATCCCACAGCCGCAGTCCAAGGCACACTTAGTGCCAGCCTTGCCAGGACCCTGTCATGGTCAATGATCGCATAGACTCACCGTTACTATCATCTTTCCATCAGTGGCTTCTTAAATTCAAGCAACCTTGTATGGTTTCTTCTAGTGCTGTAGGAGATTCAGCTTTGAAACTTATAGTGGGTGGGATTTACTATATGCTGTCAATCAGTGCCACTGACATCCAGCCCACGGTGACCCCTCTGCCTCGAGTCCTATGCTTCCTGACATAGACTACAGCCCCCCAGGGCCCTGTGCTGGACAGGTTAGATGAAAGTTGGATGGATGGATGGATGGATGGATGTCATTTACTACCCAGTTCAAAGCCATGGATGTCATTAAAGTAACCAACAACCAGTGCACTAAACCTAATAATGACTAACAGGTTGTCATATTCCAACCAACTGTGGGTTTCAGAGCCTTTTACCATCACTAGTTCTTTGCGAAACTGGTTAGTTACATTTAATTCAGAAGATACTAGCAGGTGATTTCACTGTAATGTGTGTGGAAAAGCGCCATTGGGCTCTTCGGGATGCTCTAATGCATTTTCACCCTCTAGCTGTACATACATTTTTGTATGTTTTTAACCTACTTCTTCCCCAATTCTCGCTTATTTTTCAGTTATAGATATACAGTTTTCTGTTGTCCTTTTTATGTGATAAACATTTAATATTTTATCAACAAGTGATGTACTAAGAATTAGTGCTGGGTGTGGAAGGAGGGGGACACACAAAGATCAAGGTTATTGTGAAAATACTGATAGAAAGTGTCCTGATGATGTAATGTTCAGGGAGACATTCTGCTGCAGAAGTGAGCTCACTGAAGCAGCAAATGCATTTTAACAACAAGTACATAGTGTTTAGACTGGGAGGGCTTATAAGGACCAGTCTGGCTAATATCACTGGGTTTTTACAGGAGGTTACATATCAAGTGGCGCTTTCGCTCTTCTGCTGCTGGCTTTGGTTTAGCCGCATGGAAATTGGTGACTAGCCAGTGGTGGCTCCGGAATCCTAATGAGGCCTGTTCTATCTTCATTATCGTTTCAGTGTAACATATAACACCAGGCATTAAAAAACTGTAGTATTAACAAATCAAATGAATCCGCTCTATTAATATGGCATAAAATGGAAGTTATGTAAATACCATGTGAGGCATGCAAGTGTTTAAAATAATTGTAGCTGCTTGCTTTGAGCATTTGTGTCATTTATTGAATAATACCATAGATGCTGCCTACATTTCAATTCCCATACATATATTTACACTAAGTACAAGCGATTGTGGCACCAAATGGCTCAGTGGGCTACGCCTCTGTGCTTGAGTTTGGAAGGTCACTGGTTCAAGCCTTGTCTGTGGACCCTTGAGCGTGGCCCTTAACCCCCTCCTCCCTGAGCACTGCTACTGGGGGCTGCCTATTACTGCCAAGCTGTGTCGCCTGTGTGTGTCTTATGGTGGGCAAGATGGGATAGGCAACAAGAGAATATCCCTGCAGGGATCAATATCATCATTTCATGATACCAAAAAACAGAGACATGGTTATCAAGATATAGTTGTGTGATTAGTACTAACTTGTATTTGGGTTACTTCATACACCTATTTACAATCAAAAGCATTTCCAATATGCATCCAAAGAATGAGTTCGGCATAGATTGCACAATACTGCAGCAGTATGATACATCCGACACCCGTTCATTACTGACTTTTCACTCATTAATCAGGAGATCAGCCAGGACGCTATAAATAGCATGTCTCAATGGCACATGAGTGCAGGACTCAACGCCGCACATACTTCAGGATGCATATTTAGTAACTGTCTCTCAGAAGGTCTTCTGTACAGAATCCTTTGCTGCTGAAGCTTGGACACTTGCTTTATGTATAAAAAATGTCTGGTTGAGAACTTGCTATAACAAGGCAGACAACTTCAGATATATTTGTTATGTACCAAAAGTATGAGCTTGATTACATGCTCAAAATGTAATATGCTGAAAATGAAACTGGTGGATGATTTGTGCTGCACTCTCAAAAAAATATACCTTTGCTTGTCACTGGGATTATACCCAAATGTACCATTAGCTGTAGGTCATTATACCTTTTAAGATGCAGAAATGGACTCGGAGGAACATTTCTGTACCATTGATGGTACAGTACATTAATGTTGTCTGTACCTTTGGGGTGTTCCTCAGAGTCCATTTCTATACCTTAAAAGGTACAATTACAAGGGTACAGCCCCAGTGACAAGCAAAGATACAAATTTTTACCCTTTTTTCTGAGTGTAGAAGACTTACCCCAACAAACTTTTTCAGGAACTGCCTGGAACCTTCTAAGTCAATCTCGGAAATCTCGATGAAGCCTCCCATCATCCCCTCCTCCGAAGCCTCCACATCTTTGTAGAAATTCTGCGCTCTTGCGTAGAACTGCTTCTCCCCCTTGATGTACTCGCAGGTTACAGCAAAGAGCTGGACTGACAGGTGGAGCAGGGTAATCACAAAGTCAGATGCATCCCAGCATAGTGCTACATATGGCTGTCCTATAATAATCAGATGGTATATTTGAATCGAAAACCTAAAGAATTGTCATTGACAACTACATTGTGAAGGAACTGGAATTCCATAAGTTTTATACCACACCTGAAATTCAACTCTGGATACTTTTAGGTTGCTAAAAGCTATCTGGTGTGCTAATTTAAATTTTCTGTGTGGAGCGTATGAACTGCATTTCGGTTATGTTGCAAAGGAGTCTGTGTGTGGGGTTGAGACATGGTACCCACTGGGGATCTGCACTGGGCACTGCACTGGGCACTGCACTGGGCACTGCAGTGGTACCTTACCATGCAAAACAACTAGCCTGCTAAACTGAAGACTCCAGGTGTGAGAACTAATCGGGACTGGAATCCGGAGAGTGACATTGTAGTGAAGTCACATGTTCGCAATGAACTCTACTGCAAGACCATCTTCTAAATACCTATAGGGACGGAAGCACAATGAATAAACCCCACCAGGCAAGAGGACTGGCATGTCAACCCAAAGGCCATAGTCTCCAAGGAGCCATCAATCTCTTATCCTATGGATGTTGGGGGGCGGACAGGGAGGTGATGTCACCATTATAGCATACTTACGCATACTTACAATGAGCTCTAATATGATCTGTAATAAGAACCCTGAGTCAGCTTTGTTAGTCCATAATAAGTGCATGTTAATTCCCCAGCATTCAAGGTGTGAACGCTGTTGGATATCAGGCCCACAGCGAAGGGACCTCTCAGCAGGATCTCCTTAACCTCAGCGCCATTAAGCCGCTTGTTATACTCCCAGCCTGAAGCCCCGTATTGCGGATGGGACCCGGCTGACGCACAAGGCAGGCATCTCTGCGGAAAGGCGGCGGTTAACTTTGCGCTGATATCATCCGTGTGAGGCTTTCCCTTGAAATCATGTTCTCAGCAGGTAATGTTAGAAACGCGGCAGGTGACAGCCTTGGCACAGATGTCGTACTCTGATATTCGCGCGCGGACAGTCATGTGAGGCCTGATTAGCGCTTCTCGCGGTGAGATAAGTATAGCAATAACACGGCTATGGAACAGCAGCAGGCATTTGTCATCATTTACACCACTCATTCATTGAAAAGGCACTTAGTTAGATTTAATTACAAATGTATCTTTTAAATGTGTCTACCCTGCAGTCAGATCATATTTAAATCGGTTGCCAAATGGATGGAACGAGGTAGAAAACACACCTAACAAGCAGTCGGCATCTTTTATAGCACATTTTAGATAAAGCGGTTTCAGCCAGCCATCTGTTTTGTGCAACGTTTTGGTAGATTGTAAAAACACATAAGGTATTTCAAGTGCAAAATCTGCAGTTTGTATGACAGGTAACTTATATTCGCTATTAAAATATAGTTATGATATTAATGACCCATATGACACCTGAATTGGCGGTAATTGTCAAAATAAATCAGAAAATTAATCATTCATAATACAGCTAATTAAATTCTTAATACTAATAAATATAGACATCAAAAATAACATAAATGGGAAGAATTTAGTACATTTTGTATCTAATAACAGCAACTCATTAACACCTTTTTTGGACAGGATACACGAAGAGAACTTTATTATTTTAGGGTTATGGTACAACTCCAGTAACCTTTAAATAACTACAACCCGTTACAGCCAAGTGCGTTATGCAGGTCATCCAGTTAGAGGAACATATTTATAACACAGATAAACTATTTTTATAAGATATAAATGTGTACTGTATATACATTATTAAACGATTATATATTTAAGATATATAATTTAAACAATTCTTAGTTTTTTTACGTTTTAATCTTACCCGGGTTACAATAAAGAAACATTTATAGTTTGTGCAGCTTACATTAATACTTTTCCACATTTGCGAAATTAATAAATTTAAAATAAATGAATACTTTCTCACAGCATGTAACGTACTCATCAGCTTTCATCATTAGCAGCAAATTATGAGGATACAGGAGGCGACCACCTGCGAGGGTGGTGTGATTTACCTAGAGGGATTTGCTCCAGCAGGTACAGATAGCTGGCGAAGAACTCCTTCCTGAGGGTGTTGTGGAGGTGGAAGGACATGCTATGCCGGCAGAGGCCATCGTCTGTCTTCTTCCAGCGCCGACGGAAAGCTTGGTGAGCAGCTCTGTGCTCCATGGTGGTCATAGAACGTGACGAGTCCGGCTTGCAGGAGCGACTGGGCAGGGAAGGTGAGACGCTGGGACGCCAGCGGGTGCAGCGGCGCTATATCTGCTAGGCGCTTGGCACCATCGCCGTAATTGATCGGGGCGATTCCTGCGCTCTGCAGGTGCTGAAAGCTACCAGGGCGTCGCAGAGCCTCTGCTCAGCAGACGGGAAGCCAAACTTGGAGCCTGTGAGCTTCTTCTGCCCTATCGAATAGTCACGTAAAGTCGTAGTGACAACTGTTGTGACACCCAGCAAGCATTCGCATGCAACTGGACAGGCTAGTGACATGTCGGCTATTATTAGCTTCGCCATAAATTAGAGGGACCTTCTTGTGTTTGTATACAGTTGAGGAGGGCTAATCACATTTCTAAACATTAACATCAGAACATTATACTACCATACCTACACTGTGTCAAACATACATGCAAAGCTTTTCTTTGTGTTACCCATAAAGCATTTCCATTCACATTCCAGCTATTTCAAGTGTCTTTGTCCATAATATTTTATCAAAATATATGAGTACTGCAATTAGAACTCAAAACTAAAGTTTAATAATAACGAATATTTATTTGTTATAATAAAGCTCAATTATGACCTTTGACGGATTTGCCTGCTGTTCAGGGTGTCTCGCTTCTTGGGAATGGGTCCCAGGCGAGGGATCGTCAAGCTGCTCCTATGCAAACTTCCGCGTCCATACAGTAGCAGTACTGGGGTTGCCAACTTTGGTCAGCTGGTTGGCGTGAGATTTTCTAGACAAATCTGCACATACGTACACACGCATTTACATCAATGTAATGGTTTTATTACCTTGTAAACAGTAATCTTATCAAACTACCCCAACGCTATTGATGTAGCTAATTTTAGGCTTATAATAGAGTGATATAGATCCACCATAACATTTCTTGCGTAAGCGTGAGACGCCAGATGCGTGAGATTTGGCAACCCTGCAAAACGCATCTGTGTCCGTAGCAAAATGTCTTGACGGAGACAATATGTAAGGTCACTTTTTAATTCTGGTTGGTAGATGGATGGATGAATCGATGCACGTTCAGATGAGTGAAACTATGGCTGACCGTTTAGATGTACAGGTCTGGCCGTCCTCGTGTACGCAGTCCCTATAGGTACGAGGTGGAGAAATATTACCCCTAGGTGACTCTGATTAAAGATGGAAACACAAATATATTTGTTTTGATATAGAAGCTGAGAGGAAAATGCGATGTTCCCTGGGTGAGGCAGGCTGGCTGTCTGACCGTCCATTCGCTGCGCTAATTGTAGAGCCGCACTGCGGAGGTGTTCACTGTTGCTCACGTTTTATTGGAAATACACGCATTCTAAGAAAGAAAAGGAAGACGATAAACAGTTAATTTTATGAAGAGTGTTGGACATTTTTAAATTTTGAATAACTAATTCACAGACCTCACACTGGGAAACATAAACCCATTAAATTCAGGTATTTTACTAAGATTCAGAAATATTTACCTCTCATGAGGCCACGTAGATTTGCAGCTGTTTTGAAGAAATGTGATCAAGCATTCAAAGGATTGTAAAAAATGTAAAAAAAAAAATGTAGCCTACCTCGTTTTCTCTGTTAAATATGGTAAATGTAATGTAACGACAGATTTGCATGGCTAACCTTTTATATGGGATGTTGCACTGTAGGCACCCTGATATTTATTGCACATAAATGGCCAGTGTTGTGCCATTATATTTGGAATATCTTTTCGTTTCATTCCCAGAATAGTTGCATGATTCGTGTAAGGAACATAAATTGAAGTCTGTTTGTGTAACAAAGACATAGTGTCATTAAACAAAAATAACAATAATATAAATAATAAGTGATCAATTTTGTGAAATTGAGCGGTTAATAAAATAAATATTATTTTTAGATCCTCTGCTCCAATATCTGTTAACGAGATACAGGTTTGTTTTTAGAATGAGGAGAGAGCTTACTTAAATGAATAAGTGTTTTATAAAAGTGTTGATAATAAAAATAACCCAGTTATAAGCTAAAATATGTTTTTTTTTCCCGCAAAAATAAAGAAAACGTTTATTTTAACCTATCACTGAAATGTAGTGCCTGAAGTACGCTTAAAATTTCCTCCCAGCCTGTAGATGGCAGTATAATTTTAAAAAAATTCAGCAAATGACCAACTACTGTTTTCCTCGATCTATGTCGGTAGAGTAAGCTGTTCCCTAACCATAGCAACAGGGACGCTTTAGTTGTCAAACATCTACTCTGGCTGTGGGAAATCACAAATATAGACCATATTCTGTCAGTTTAACTCATTTTCTTGTGCACAATCAGCAGTCCTATTTATTGGTGCATGTTTGCGAAGAGGTCGAGATGCAGGCGGAGGATGCGCAATTTTTAAAGAGGTTAGCAGCAGAGCTAACTAACATACTAATGTTGCGAACCGAAGCGTTTCTGTGTAACGGGAAAAAACTCACTAGCAAAAGTTGACATATTTACTTATTTATACAACAACCATATCTAACAATGTCAAATCCGTCTTGTATTATGTGACGATATGAACGAAATACGCTGGTTTTTCTTGCTGTTTTCCAGGAACTGTCTAAGTAACTCGTCATCTAATTACGTTCCTTCAAGATGCTGGATCTCAGGATTAAACTACCAAAATGCCTAATTTGCCTGAGGGATAAAATCAGCCCTTTGCTTACTGACAGTCTGTATGTTAAAGGCAAGCTAGTTGGACCAAGGGCGCGTTTAAGTTACTTAGAAAATTTGTAATAATAATATAAAATCATTAAAATAATGATAACTACAGACTATTTGCTCTTCCAGTTATGTTCTGACTAGCTATGTTGGCAAAGTGGGACAGTCTGTTAGCCCTTAAATGGTTATATAATAATAATTCTGACTTTTTAGTTTAAGATGTGAATGGGACATACAGCAAATGATTTTCTGAGCTAAATATTTCTAATTAAAAACCAAACATGCCCCAGCCTTTGGTTTCCCCCAGTTTACCGAAAACTGTCCTTATTGCACCTTTTTGTGTAGAGGTACTGTCAAATTGTGTCTATTCTCATGTGTAGGAGAGTGAAGGCTGGGAGTATCGATGTCCATCCAACTGAAAAAGCCCTCATAGTTCATTATGAGGTGGAGGCGACAATTTTGGGACAAATGGGTTATCCAATGCTAGGAGAGCGGAAGGAGTGCCAGAAGATGTAAGCACTTTTGGTGATAAGGTTCCTGAATTTACCTTTTTAGAGTTCACTGTTCACTTAACCATGATTCTGTTTTGAAATAGAAGGTTAGGCTTTAGACCAGAAAATTTCAACAATGTAAAACTAATAACACATTTTATATACAGCATTCGTCTCAAAAGCCTGAATGCCAGTACAAATATTGCTTTGCTGGCTCGGAAGGTGGTGGAGGAGTGCACACTTATCAACTCCTCCAGACTTCCTGAAGTAGAACATTTGTTGTGCTATCTGCAAAATCACAGGAAAACCAGCGATAAAGGTAAGGAGAGAGATTGCATTAAGTATCCATGATGGAACACATTTTGAGATTGGTCTAGGAAGCCATGTCATCAAAAACGACAAGAACAACAGATTAATATAGAGTAACTTAATTATTCTCTTTGAAGTGCTTATAACAATAAGTTATGATTTTTAGTTTTTCAGAAATGCTGCGGTTTTCTATTTACCAACTTTGTTTAATTGGCTCATAAAGACAGAGGAGAAAAAAAGCCTGCGAGACCCAGAGATCTGACCCCCTTTGAAGACATGGAGGTACTGTGTGGAAATACATGAAAATTTTGGTTTTGGGTTGAGAGTAATTATTTTCTGAAAGGTGATGCCGTTGTGCAACAGATTGAGGAGGAAGCCGGCATCAGCTGCATAGACAGCTATGTGGACCTGCTGTATGAGGACATTTCTGAGAAGGCGAGGGGAGCTGCACTCATCCTCCAACTCGCCCGGAAGCCCAACAATCTCGAGGAGCTGCTGCAGAACGGTAAGGTGGCACACACACTGAAACAGCCCCTCAGCCTGCATTGGCTTGTTTGTTTACATAGAGCTGTCCTGTTGTTCAGCATTTGATGCTTTACAGCCGCCAGCCAACATACGTGTCATGGCATGGATCCTCATATACAGATCATGAATATGACTCTTCAGTATAGTAGGCAATGCATGATTTTGTACACAATGCTGGGCATGTTTTGGCAACCATTACACCTTTGTTTTTCTAACTTCCCAGAGACAGCGCTGGGAGCCCTGGCCAGAGTTCTGAGAGAAGACTGGAAGCAAAGCATGGAGCTGGCCACCAGTATCATCTACATCTTCTTCTGTTTCTCAAGGTAAGAGGATAGATAGATAGATAGATAGATAGATAGATAGATAGATAGATAGATAGATAAATAGATGATAGATAGATAGATAGATAGATAGATAGATAGATAGATAAATAGATAGATAGATAGATAGATAGGGAGAGGGAGGAAAAAATGAAATGAAATGATACTATTACATGCTGATCCATCAGGACGGAATCCATTCACTGTGATGTGTAGCTTGAGAAGTGGCACAATCTCCTTCTAAGGAGAATAAGCTTTTGGGCTTTGATCTATCTTCCAACTGCTTTGCCTTGCAGAATCTCTAATCTTATTGTAAACCCTAACTGTCTCTCTGAGAGTAGTGAGGTGTAATGCTTCAGAATTTGCCGTTTTGACGTACTTTGGTTTCACCTGTCTGACAGTTAAATTTACTTGTCTGTCCTTGCATGAGTTAAACTGTTTATCCATTTTTCCCCATTTCTCAGTTTCAGTCAGTTTCATGGACTCATCACCCACTACAAGATAGGAGCCCTATGCATGGGCATCATTGATCATGAGCTTAAGAGGTACGACCTGTGGCAGTATGAGCTCCAGAAGAAGAAGACGCCTTATATCCTTACAGTGGAGAACCAGACAGACGGCTGGCTATAGAGTGTCTAAAAGTGTTCCCTTGTTATTTTAATGAGCAGATTCGAAAACAAGAGCTCTTTCCTTAATTTAACTTACATGAAGAGAGTCCTGATGACCAGAACCGAAGAAAAGAATATGAGAAAGCTGTAAAGAAGTACCAGAGCCTTGTGGTGAAGCAGGAGCGACTGCTCAGAGGTGCTTCCCAATATCTTATTTCATGGTTTCCATGTTATCTTTTCTCCATCATTGAATTGGACTGGGTAGCGTGAGAAGGTCATATGGTGACTAGGATGCAACCTGATGGGCTCACATGCTAATAGGCTCACATGCTAATGGGTACACACTTCCTGCGTTTACAGTATCGCTGTACCTCCTGCTGAACCTGTCAGAGGACACACGCACGGAGCTGAAGATGAGGAACAAGAACATTGTGTGCATGCTGGTGAAGATCTTAGGCAGGGAGAACGCTGACCTGCTGGTGCTGGTCGTCTCCTTTCTCAAGAAGCTTAGTATCTTCCTGGAAAATAAGAACGACATGGTGAGACTCGCTCTTATACTAACTCCTGGTACATGTGGTAATTAAGTCAGACAGTGAGTCACACTTTGCAGGTTTGCAATCTTCCCCCTACACCTGCAGCAACGAGTCACAAGACATTTGTTTTAATTACATTATAAATTAAGTCCCTTGTGATTGGTTCTTTGAGATGTTACATTCCTTCTGACTCCACTTCCTTGTTTGAGATGGTATCATCATCTCAAGGCATGTTGGGCTGCCTTTTTTGCTGTATAAAAGCCTCTCTTCTCTTTCCAGTAAGCTATTCCTAGAGGTCTGACAAGACTGTGCGCTATTGGAGACGTGCTCTCCGCAGCTCTGTCATTATTACATCAGAAGAGGACAGTCTTCCTCTCTATGAGTGTCCATGCACAGATTAGCAGCAGTTGCTGTTCATTTTCCTTCACCGTGTTTATTTTCTGGATAATATATGTGCTCGTGGCCAGCAGTGGGGTTACCAGTATAGTCTCCTGGGGTTGGCATATGAATTTGTTGAGTGGGTACCAGTGTTCGAATTGTGTCTTGGGGGGATGCCCTGGTGTGGTAGTGTCTGTCTCTGCTGACACGGAGTGGGCATTGCCCATCTGCGGCCACGTCGCTGGTGCCCAGCAGCCTCTAAATGTATAAGGAGAAAAAAAAAACATACACGTTCAGGAGAAAACCTGGTCGAAGGTTGATGGAGGGTCTGCAGGTTTTTAGAAATGCCGCCTTTTTTTGGCTGCGAATGGTGTTCGGAAAAGCAAGAACTGATTTACCACGCGACAAAGTCTGATTTACAGGCTGATAGGCTTTGCAGCTATGAAAATCTCAGTATCACATGTCATAAACTTTCACTTATAAAGGATTATAAAGTATTTGATACTGGTAGCAATAAGTTTTAAGTGGGAGTCAGAGTGTGACTTTTTTATTGCAAGGTTTTATTGGGGTAAATGTTTACTAGCACAAAACAACAGTTTAACAGAGGGCAGATTTTTATAAATATGTCTCCATGTGGGTGAATTAGACCACAGTTAAATATAGTGTGCTGTTAACGAGGGGGGGGGGGGGCAGCATTGTAATCAGACACAATGGGTCCTCTGGAGAACCGGAAGTGAACAGTGGAGGGTGCAACATCACGTTACTCAGGCCTTGCCTGCTATGTCTTAGGGGGTCTCTGTAATTTTCAGCACACAAGTTGGTATTTAAACAGTTTTACCACGGTAAATACAGTGGCCTTGGTCTCATATGCTTTTCAGGCCATAACATGAAGCAGAGTTTAGGGGGCACAGGAAGGAGAACCATGTATTTGTTTATTTATGTTGTTTTTGCTCCCACTCCGTTTCCATCGGCAGGCTGAACTCGACACGGTGGAGAAGCTGGCCAGACTGGTTCCATGTGACCACGAGGACCTGCTGAACGTCACCCTCCGTCTTCTGCTGAACCTCTCCTTCGACACCGGCCTGCGTAGCCGCATGGTCCAAGTGGGCCTGCTGCCCAAGCTGACCGCGCTGCTAGGTACAGGCCAGGCCGCCGCCCCCAGCAGGCCGCCGCCCCCTCTCACCTCAGGCCCTTTGGCAGGCCATTATCCTATACAACAATTTATAAATGTCCGTTTCTCTCCACCGGATGCTATTCTAGGACCCATGATGTCCCAGATTTTGCAAGCATTCCTATGTCCTAAGTGTTTCACATTCAGAAAGACAGTTCCCACAATGCACTTGTGCTGGTGCAGACACTTGCTGCGCTTGTCTGCATGACACATCGTCCATCTGTCGCTACCATAGCAACACCAAGCATTTCCGCTTTTGAAGTGTCTCCTGAGGGTTCTAGGTATCCCCTGTGATTAATTATGTTTTTTTTAGGAAAACACTTATAAAACTGATGTTGTCTTTCTAGGGCTGGGCTAGAAGGGCCTTTGGGGCTTCAGACCGACTTGCTCTTTAATGTTTTTATTTCCACAAGCCGCCATTAACAGCAGTTTGGAACCACCGGGCTGCTCCGACGTGGATTTTACCTCCAGCAGCAGCTTCTCTCGCCTAAAGTCATCAATCCCTATGATTATTGCATTGTTCCCCAATGTTTATGACTCGTATTGTGGTTGACGGGTTTTGTGACATTTGTGGCTATTAAAATGACGTGTGCGATGTTGGCTAATTTCACTTATGTTTACAACTGTGGCAACTAGAGGAGTTGCCAGTGGCTGACTGCATTGTGGACATTGGCCATTTAATTATAGACAGACTCCAGATAGGCGAGCGGTTTCATTACCGTATTTTCCAGACCTTTGTCTTGTTTCCATGTATTTATTTTATGTCAAATGGCTCAGTATGCAGCCGCATGCTTTAGCAATGACAGCATACAACCCCTGGTTATATTATAACAAGAAAAATAAGGAATAAGACAAAAAGTCTTCTTTTTAATCAGAGTTGTATGTCTTCTGCTGCATTGCATGGCTCTGCATGTGTCATTTTGGATGTTATTTACCAGGAAAAGGTTGCTTTGGGGGGTTAAAAAGTAAACAGTTGTTTTTTGCGTCTCTTTCTGCCATGGATGCCGTGATTCCGATGGTGTACAGTAATGTTTCGTAATCTGTTCATTTTTCAGTGTTTTCCTTCATGAACGTGGCTGTGAATTGGTGTTAACGTCTTAATGAATCGACAGCACAGTACCTTGGTGGTGCAGGTAGCTCTCTCTGCTTTAGTGAGATTTGTTAGTTTCCCATTTCTTGTCGTACCTTGGGCCAGGGGCTTGTGTGTGTGAGTGGGCAGGCAGGTTGTGGTTGTTGGTGTAGGCGCTTCACTTTCATGGATGTCTCCTTTCACGAGATTCATCCGTGTCCCTAAAAATCCTCAGGTTCGGGAGCCAGTCGTAAAACACGTGCGATTCACACTCACCTTCACTAGTGGCTATAACAGCTGAAACATGTATCCCTTTCTCATAATACCAGCAGTATTGGTGATGCTGCAGTGTTGCTAATGTGTAAAATTGCTGGGGTCCAGGTGAATTGGCCTGTGTGCTTGGTGATAGAATGAGAGTGCAGGTCTCTCCCTGTCCTTCTGAGGATGGGCTGCAGGTCCCTGCCACCCCCCTTATCAAAGAAAAAGAAAATGGAGGGATATACAGCATCTGGATGAAGAATACCATAATGTAGCCAGTAAGCTCAGCTTTATGTTTGGGGGCGACTCCCCTATTCTTTCTTTTGTTTGCTTTATGCTTGTAGACCAGTGTTTCTCCACCCAGTCCTCTGGGACCCACGGACAGTGCACATTTTTACTCCCTCCCAGCACTGAAGAGGGAGCAAAAACGTGGGCTGTCTGCGGGTCCCCGAGGACCGGATTGGCCAACACCGTTGGACTAAAGGTGACCTATGCCTCTAATAGGACACTGGGGAGAAGTATCAGCCTCTCAAGTGTTTGATGCTCTGGCGTAAATCTCTTTCTAGTTTCCCCTATCCATGTGTTTTTGCCTTGCAAACTGAGGGGTGGTCGCGGGCCCCTATTATCACCTCCTTCATTCTCCACGGCCCCCTGCTTGTTAATGAATTCATAGCCTCTGCTCTGATGACAGGGATGCGTCGTCGTAATGAGCGTCCCGCTTTCTTTCCCGTTAGTCTACAATCACAAATCAACTTGTGCCATGGAGATAATTCACTTTTACTGAGGTTAATGTAGGCTTTTACTTAATGTTTTTTTTTTTTTTTTTTTTTACATTTTTTGAGCATTTAAATGCTATTTTTATTTACAAAACTGCACTGGTGTTGACCACAAAACGAACCCAGACGCCACTAATATTGCCCTGCTGTAATTTTACTAACGTTAGTGGTTTAAATCAAACGGGGGTGTAATTGAAGCGAGGGCTACCAGTAACTGCCCCCCGACACAGCAATTAATTTTTAACGGCTATTTTTTTTGTCGTGTATAAAAAACACAAGCACGCTCGGGCTACAGCAGTGTTGTGAATGTTTAATAGGTCCCTCTCCAGCCCACTAGGTCCTCCATTTTCCTACCGGCGAAGTGAGGTAATAACGCGGGTCACATGTTGCAGTGACCCTAATGAGAAGCACATGTACCGGCCGTCGCTCTGCTCCGAGGGCCGGGCAGTTTAGCTTGAAGTTATTAATGGCAGTAAAATTTATGCTTCCTCCTGTTTTCCCAATTAAACGAAGACGCTCTTTTTTTTTTAACCCTGGGATCCCTGTGGCCACATCTGTTCCCAATAACCCGCGATAACATGCCCCGAGCATCTCAGTGGCATCGCTGCCGCGGCGCCGTCCTCCTAAACGAGCGGTTATGTAATGGGCGACTGCATGTACCTGATAGGGCTCCCCTGAGAGGACGGCCTAATTGATGGCAGGGTGGGTCTGAGCCTCTGAATCACGCCACCGCTCTGGGAGTCGTCCATCAGGGGACGGGCTGGGATGGTAAACAAGGTTATGCGTGAGGTCTGTTTATTTGGAACGACAGCTCGTGAGACTAGCAATAGAGGTGAGAACACGTTCTCTGTTGGCTCTTCATAATTGGCTTATTAGAGACGTGATTTATTTCCCTGTGGAAGTTCTTCTGTAATGGGCGATTTTAATGTGTAACAGATAAAATCTAAAATGTACAGGGATCCTTCATTATACAAGAATCTTACTCACTCTGTGCATTTAGTCATATGATATAGGAGGGGCTTGGTCAGTACAGTGATACATAATATAGTAAGAGTCTCAGTAAAAAATGTAGTGAGAGTTAATTCTGTACAGTAATAATACATGTTATATATATATAGCGCTTTTACAAGATCTCAAAGATGCTTAATAGCAGTAGAAAGAGTGGGCTGGTGTCTCCTTCAGTGTCCTTAATGCTGTCATCCATGTGCACATCAGGTGAGGAAAGCCAGAGGCGTGTCACCCTGAGGATCCTCTACCATCTCAGCATGGACCACAGCACCAAGTCCATGTTTGCCTACACAGACTGCATCCCGCAGGTAGGACGCGAAGCTGAGCAGAACCGGCCCAGATCCGCAGTCTTGGGGTTCAGCTGCTGGCTTATGGCCAGATGAAGGGGCTCTGGACTCCTGCTGGGTAAAAACCACTGGTGCCTGATTCCAGCTCGCAGAGGCCTTCTGTCACTGGATCTGCACTCTGGGTCACTGTGGTAAATGTGAAGCATTTAGCTCATCTTTTACTTGGTTGGGTATTCTCTTCAGATTAGATCCCAGCATTTGCCACAGAGACGCCTCCCTGTCCGGCACCGGCTCCCCTGGTTAGGAATACCAGTCTGGATTTGTTGTCCTTTCAGTGACACGGTTTGAAGTCTTTAAAATATTAGTTTTTAATTTGCTTAAAATCCTTTGCAGGTGTTCTTAAAAAAAAACAATACGCAGTGGCCGAGCCCAGCTGCCATTTAGCCCGGTCAGCTCTCTCCTGCACCCCTTCCCTCCACCCATCCCCTCCCCCCCCCCCCCACAACATGTCGACCGGAGGGTACCAGTGCCATGGGGGGTGCCCCCCCCCAGCACAGAATCCACCACAGCAACGAGGCCTCGGCATAATCACTCAAAGATGTTTGGGGGGGGGGGACCTTGTGGGGGTGCGTGGAGCAGGATGCGGGCCTGGCCACCGGTCGCTGGTAAATAAGTAGAGTCAGGTGCCAGAGAGTCTAGACGCGGTGATTTCAGGCCTGGACTCTGGTATCCGATACTCAGTATGGGATAGGGTTGATTGCACGCTTCAGCCTCCTTAGGACCTAGGGTGCCCTTTTATGCTTTCCTGTTTAACATTAAATCAGCGGACGGCAATGCCTATCCACCCCCCCCCCCCCCCCACTTTATCCTGCCTCCCCCAGCACCTCTCCTCTCGCCGTAGGTAGCAAAGGGGTTTTTCCTCGGGCCCTATCGCACCGGCTCGGC